AGTGTTGATGTTTTATGAGCCTTTCTCCTTAGCTTGGAGATGGCCACCCCCTCTTTCTATCTTAGCATTGGCCTCCCTCTGTGGGTATCTGTGTCCTAATCTCTTCTTTTTTTAAGATCTTGACACAGTCTCACTATGTTATCCAGGCTCTGTCTCAAAAAAAAGAAAAAAAATTATAGTACAAGTCATGTTTGATTTCTGCAATTAAAAGAGATACAAGATACAATATAAAATATAACAAATGTTATTGGTATATGCAGTGTTGAGTATTACAATTTTAATACAGTGTTTATGCTTCTTAAAATGTCTATACATTTTTCTGGTGCTGTCTGTATTATATGATATTCCTGTCTGTCTGCATTTTCTTTTTTTTTCTTTTTTGAGACAGAGCCTCAAGCTGTCATCCTGGCTAGAGTGCCATGGCATCACAGCTCATAGCAACCTCTAACTCCTGGGCTCAAGCGAGTCTCCTGCCTCCACATCCCAAGTAGCTGGGATTACAGGAGCCTGCCACAACGCCTGGCTATTTCTTTTTTTTGGTTGCAGACATTATTGTTTGGCAGGCCCGGGCTGGATTTGAACCCGCCAGCTCAGGTGTACGTGGCTGGCGCCTTAGCTGCTTGAGCCACAGGTACTGAGCCTGTCTTCATTTTCTAAAGTCCCCTTTGAGATTCAGTCCACAGAATTGGACTGAGAATTGTTTGGTGAGAGATAATAAACTTTTTCTAAACTTCCTTTAGTTTTCCTTGGTTGGGGTTTTTGCCCTTTTTGGATCATTGTTTGCCTTCTAGCTTCGCATATTGGGAAAGAAAAGACAGGAACAGCAGGATTCAGAGATTGCAGCAGTTTCTTTAATTTCTGTAGGTTGGTTATCTGGATTTCTGCTGTTGTTCATAGAATACCTTGATTTAACAAGGCATGGATTAGCTGGGGGCAGTCAGTATACATTGATCCTATTCTCTGACCCTTCATCCTGTTTTTTCCTGACTCTTGACCCTGAATTGGAAGGACTTAAATTTACCTCTGTTTTTATATAGACTAGGTCTTTGGTTCTTGGATTTTAGTTGACTCTTAAAGGTCCGGAGAGCTTGTACATTTATTTATGCCTGGGTCTCACCACAAATGTACTGAATCAGAGTCTTTCTGGTGGAATTTGAAATGTTTATGTATATTTAACTTTTTTTGGGGGGGGGGGCGAGAGACAGGGTTTTATTCTGCTGCCTGGGCTAGAATGCAGTAGTATCATCATAGCTCACTACAACCTCAAATTTGTAGGCTCAAGCAATCCTCCTGTCCTAGCCTCCAGAGTAGCCAGGACTGCAGGTATGAGTCACCATTATCTAGCTAATATTTCTATTTTTTAATAGAGTTGAGGTCTCGCTTTCTTGCTCAGACTGGTCTTCAACTCCTGTCTTAAGCAATTCTCCTGCCTTGGCCTCCCAAAGTGCTGGTATTATAGGCATGAGCCATTGTGCCTGGCCTAACTTTTTATTAAGAAAAGTAAACACATAGAAAATGTAGGATCATACAGTGAACCGTAATGTATCCAACGTCAAACTTCTCTAATTAACAATTTGTGACTAATCGTGTTTAATCCATATCCCCATCTTGTTTTTACTCTCCTATATTACTTCAAAGCAAATCCAAGATTATATTTCATTTCTAAATATGAAATGTATATGTTTAATATATACATATTGTTATGTGTATATTAAGATGATTCAAGAACTTATTGAACAGGTAATACCTGCATGTATTAAAAAAGGATGTACTGTGAAAAGAAAAATGTTTCATTGTTCCTAGTATTCTTTTAATTCTCCAGTAAGGCAAAGAAATCCCACATTTCCTCCCTCCATCTCTAGTTTAGCTCACAGCAATCTCAAACTCCTGGGCTCAAGCAGGTCTCCTGCCTCAGACTCCCAAGTAGCTGGGACCACAGGCGCCCAGCTATTTTTTGGTTGCAGCTGTCATTGTTGTTTGGCGGGCCTGGGCTCGATTCAAACCCACCACCTTAGTGTATGTGGCTTGCGCTTTAGCCACTTGAGCCACAGGCGCTGAGCCAAGTTTCAGTTTTCTTAACAGCAAATTGGGAGGATAATGCTATGATTAAATAAAATACTGAACATAAAGTATTAAACTGTATATAGCACAGTGAGTGCTTAGTACGCGGTAGCTCTTATTTTTATTGTTATAGGTGTTTCGTATTGTGATGGTTCTGAGTTAAAGAATGTTTATGATTAGTTAACAATACCATAGTAGGAAATTGCACAGTTAATATAATATAGATTTTTAAATTATGGAGAATGAAGGTATTTTGAATTCAGTTCAACCAACCAATATTTATTAAATACCAACTCTCTATCTTGGGCACTTTGTTTTAGATGCAGTGTGAAAGGCAAACGTGTACACTGACGATTACAGTGTAATGTAATCTCCTGAGAGCAATGAGAAGGATTTAGGAACTGCTATGAGAATACTGAAAGCACAGCTCTGCCTGAGGGTGATTGTTGAGTGTACATTTCTGGAAAGGCTTCAGCAAGAAGATATTACATTACTTTGATCTGAATCTAAAGGAGTTTGCTGAATGTTCAAGAGTAGATGTTCAGAAAGACATTAAAGAGAACATCATGTAATGTCCCTATACTTGGCTTATCTCTTTATTTTTATGTTTGATCATTTGTATTAGGATTTTACCATTAGGGAAATTCTAAGATATAATAATTTTGTTCAAGTAGAAAAAAATGAGCCAGGTGCAGTGACTTAATCCCAGCACTTGGGAGACTGAGGTAGAAGGCTCACTTGAGGCCAGGAGTTTGAGACTAGCCTGGGCAACATAATAAGATCCCATCTCCACAAAAAATTTAAAAATTAGCTAGGTGCTATAGTCCTAGCTACTAAGGGAAGTGGAGGCAGGAGGACTGCTTGTGTCTGGGAGTTTGAGGTCACAATGAGCTATGATCAAGCCACTGTATTTCAGTCTGTATTTCAGACCTTGTGTCTTAAATAAAAAATAGAATATTACTTAAAAATGGAATTAAATGATTCTATTAAGTTATTGATAGAATTTGTTGTTTTGACTTATGTTTAAATGTGTATTATAGACCCAAAAGATAGAACACCTATATAAATAACAGTTTTTCTTTTCTTTTTTTTTTTTATTCACCACTATACAAACGAGGGTAACAGTTTTTTCCTGCAGTGGTACTGAGAAATTGTTCTTTGTGTGTGTGTGTGTGTGTGTGTTTTGATTTCCTGTACTCGGGTCAAGAGTAGCTGGATTTATTTCATATTATATAAACTCTAATATATAGAGTTTATAATACTGTATATAGCACAGTGAGTGCTTAGTACATGGTAGCTCTTATTTTTATTGTTATAGGTGTTTTGTATTGTGATGGTTCTGAGTTAACCATCACAAAGGTTCTGGTAAAGTCATAGGGAACAAAATTAACTATGCTGGTATAAAATGTTAGTTCCTTTTTCATATCTATGTTAAACCAGAATCAAATACTATTTACAAAACCATGATGCACTTAATGGTGAAGTAGTAAGAATGTTTGTTATTTTATCTCCAGTAACCTCACATCATTTTTGAATGCTGGGATAAAACAAATAGAATGTCACTTTGTCTTTGAGGACTTTAGAATAATTTTTTTTTTTTGAAAAAAGCCTTTTTTTTTTTTGTAGAGACAGAGTCTCACTTTGTCGCCCTTGGTAGAGTGCTGTGGCGTCACACAGCTCACAGCAACCTCCAACTCCTGGGCTTAGGTGATTCTCTTGCCTCAGCTTCTCCAGTAGTTAGGACTACAGGCACCCACCACAATGCCCGGCTATTTTTTTGTTGCAGTTTGGCTGGGTTTGAATCCACCACCCTTGGTATGTGGGGCTGGCACCCTACTCACTGAGCCACAGGTGCTGCCCTGAGATAGAGTCTTACTATGTTGCCCTTGGTAGAGTGCTGTGGCATCACAGCTCACAACAACCTCAAACTCTTGGGCTTAAGCAATTCTTTTGCCTCAGCCTCCTGAGTAGCTGGGACTGCAGGTGCCCCCCACAACGCCCAGCTATTTTTCATTGCAATTGTCACTGTTGTTCAGTTGGCCCCGGGCTTGAACCCACCAGCCTCGTAACTAACCACTGTGCTCTGGCACAAAGCTGACTTCAGAATAATTTTAAATAATTTATTTTTCAAATATAAGTGAACTTAAGAACATTATTTGGAGGAAGTTTGAAGAAATACCCCCATATAATAAAATACAAATTGAAAAGCAAAGCAACATGAACGTGAGCAGATCATTAACTTGTGCTTGCAGTATAATACCTTTTAAGACCAAAAGATAATATATTTAGTAAATAGAATACAAGATCAGCTGCTCATGGAATAGGCATCCTCATTTTATTTAAAATCCCTGCCAATATATATTTTTAGATCAGGCATATTTTGTGTGTGTGTGTGTGTGTGTGTGTGTGTGTATATATGTGTGTGTATATATATATATATATACATATATATACATATATATATAATTTTTTTTCTGGAGGCAATTCTTGAGCTTTAAGTTTAAGTGATATGACTATAAACTATGTTTATGTAATGTATCTTTTTTTCTTTTCATTTGTTCATAAATTTTAATTTGGTGATAGATACTTTTGTGAAATGTGTACCGTCGAAGGATCTGTACTTTTTTCTTTTTGGGGAAAATGGGTGATGAGGTTTATGAGGCATATCTCCACCATTGTAGTGCTGTGGAAATATATATCAAGTAAATAAATGCATTTGATTCTTTGCTTCCAGCCTTCTTCCCCAAATAGCTGAAGCATTCATTAACTAAAATGGAGATGTTAAAGATATTTATCTCTCCAAGGGAAAACATCTAAATAGAATTTAATTTTTTTTGAAACAAATTACAGTTTTGACCCTTAAAAGTTTCCTCCATGAGATTTAAAGTTGAAAAAGATATTTTGGGGTAACATTTTTGTTTTCTCTTTTTCTTTCGCAGGTATGGCCTCACAAGTCTTGGTCTACCCACCATATGTTTATCAAACTCAGTCAAGTGCCTTTTGTAGTGTGAAGAAACTCAAAGTAGAGCCGAGCAGTTGTGTGTTCCAGGAAAGAAACTATCCACGGACCTATGTGAATGGTAGAAACTTTGGAAATTCTCATCTTCCCGCCAAGGGTAGTGCTTTTCAGACAAAAATACAATTTAATAGACCTCGAGGACACAGCTTTTCGTTGCAGACTAGTGCTGTTGTTTTGAAAAACACTGCAGGTGCTACAAAGGTCATAGCAGCTCAGGAGCAGCAAGCTCCTGTGGAGGCACCTCAGATTGGGGTGTGGCGGAACAGGTTTCATTTCCTAGAAGGCCCCCAGCGATGTGGATTGAAGCGCAAGAGTGAGGAGTTGGATAATCATAACAGCGCAATGCAGATTGTTGATGAATTGTCCATACTTCCTGCAATGTTGCAAACCAACATGGGAAATCCAGTGACGGTTGTGACAACTACCACAGGATCAAAACAGAATTGTACCACTGGAGAAGGTGACTATCAGTTAGTACAGCATGAAGTCTTATGCTCCATGAAAAACACTTACGAAGTCCTTGATTTTCTTGGTCGAGGCACTTTTGGCCAGGTAGTTAAATGCTGGAAAAGAGGGACAAATGAAATTGTAGCAATCAAAATTTTGAAGAATCACCCTTCTTATGCACGTCAAGGTCAAATAGAAGTGAGCATACTGGCAAGGCTTAGTACAGAAAATGCTGATGAGTATAACTTCGTACGAGCTTATGAATGCTTTCAGCACCGTAACCATACTTGTTTAGTGTTTGAGATGCTGGAACAAAACTTGTATGACTTTCTGAAACAAAATAAATTCAGTCCCCTGCCACTAAAGGTGATTCGGCCTATTCTTCAACAAGTGGCCACTGCACTGAAAAAATTGAAAAGTCTTGGTTTAATTCATGCTGACCTCAAACCAGAGAATATCATGTTGGTAGATCCTGTTCGGCAGCCGTACAGGGTTAAAGTAATTGACTTTGGGTCGGCCAGTCATGTATCAAAGACTGTTTGTTCAACTTATCTACAATCGCGGTACTACAGGTAGGTGATAGCTACTTACTCTTCGGTTATTTAATAAATATTGAATTTCTACTAAATGAAATAATCTTATGAGTGTACATGGTGAAAGAGACTGCTTCAGTTAAGGGAATAAAAATGAGTTTAGGTTTGAGATTTTTTTTTTTTTTTGTAGAGACAGTCTCACTTTGTCCCCCTCAGTAGAGTGCCATAGCATCACACAGCTCACAGCAACCTCCAACTCCTGGGCTTAGGCGATTCTCTTGCCTCAGCTTCCTGAGTAGCTGGTTCTACAGGAGCCTGCCACAATGCCCGGCTATTTTTTTGTTGCAGTTTGGCCCGCCACCCTTGGTATATGGGGCTGGTGCCCTACCCACTGAGCCACAGGCACAGCCCTACATTTGAGATTTAAAAAAAAAAATTATTTTTTTTTTGCAGTTTTTGGCCGGGGCTGGGTTTGAACCTGCCACCTCCGGCATATGGGGCCAGCACCCTACTCCTTTGAGCCACAGGTGCTGCGTTTTTTTTCTTTTGAGACAGAGCCTCAAGCTGTTGCCCTGGGTAGAGTGCTGTTGTGACATCACAGACTACAGGCGCCTGCTGCAACGCCTGTAGTCTGCAGTTTGGCCAGCGCCAGGTTCGAACCCGCCACTCTCAGTATAAGGGCCAGTGCCCTTACCTACTGACTGAGTCACAGGTGCCATCTGTAGTAGTTTTTTTCTTTTTTTAATATATTTTGGGATATTAAGTGCTTGAGGGGATAGAGAAAGACCTTGTGTCTTAAATAAAAAATGGAATATTACTTAAAAATGGAATTACACAGCTCACAGCAACCTCCAACTCCTGGGCTTAGGCGATTCATCATAGGCAACTAAGCATTTGGAACAGTTACGTACTTTTCCAGGTTGACTGGAATATAACTTTGTATGAGCTTATGAATGCTTTCAGCACTGTAACCATACTTGTTTAGTCTTTGATGTTTGAATGAAAGGTTTACTATTCCTTATTCAAAACGTTTGGGACCCCAAGTGTTTTTGGAATTAAGATTTTTTTCAGAGTTTGGAGTTTTTGCATTATGAATTGAACATCCCAGACCTGAAAATTTGAATGTCATGTCACTACTCAAAAAGTTGCAGATTTTTGGATTTAGGATGCTTAACCTGTTAATCCTTTTTTTTTTTACTCTACCCTGTTTTTTTCAGGGTAGAGTAAAAGTTATCCTTTTTTTTTTTTTTTTACTCTACCCTATTTTTTTTCCATACAAATAGTTATTCTGATTGACAATTTTTTTTTTTTTTTTGAGAAAGAATCTCACTATGTCACCCTCAGTAGAGTGCTGTGGCATCACAGCTCACAGCAAGCTCCAACTCTTGGGCTTACGCGATTCTCTTGCCTCAGCCTCCCAAGTAGCTGGGACTACAGGTGCCTGCCACAACACCTGGCTATTTTTTTTCTTGCATTTGTCATTGTTGTTTAGCTGGCCTGGGCTGGGTTCAAACCCACCAGTTTTGGTGTATGTGGCTGGCGCCATGACCACTGTGTTATAGGCACCAAGATCTGATTAATGATTTTAAGAGTCATATTTACTTCCATGACTTCCCATGAATGGTTAGGTCACCTTTGGTGTTTGTCCTGTGGTGAGAATTTAAAGAAGAAAATAATTTCCATGTAATACAGTAGAACCTCTGTAAGTTGACTATTCAAGTGACTGTAGCAAAGTGGTCAGCATATGGAGATGGTCAAAGAAGAGGAACTAGGCCTAATGTACTGATCATACATGTGCTGCATGTCCAGTCTATGAAAATTAGGTCAACTTAAGGAGGTGGTCAGTGTAGGGAGGTAGTCACCAGCTATGGAGGTTCTGCTGTATTGATGAGGTGCTATCATGTCATGGTTAATAATATAAAACTAGCCTGAAGTACAATAGCTTGAGGGACTAGCTAATGATTTCCAAAGACTCAAAATATCAAATATTCATTCTTGAATATGAAAATGTTTTTGAATTTATAGTAGAGTTTCATAATTTTCTGAATTATTTTCGTTTCAGCCAAAATAAATGTATAGTCTTAAAGTACTCTAGAGCTTTACAAGGCCCAACATAATAGGCAAATATAGGATCTGCTAACATTGGACATTTGTAAGTTTCTAACTAGACAAAACATGGCAGTTTTTGTTAGGAACTATTAGAACATGATGGTTGTAAATTTAGACCCACCAAGGGGTAATTATTTTCTGGTATTACAATCTGCCTTTGCACTATACTTGATTACTCTTCTTGGAAGTACGTGTTGTAGTACCTAGTATAAAACAGAGGAGGGGCTGGAGAGGTGGCTTACACCTGTAATCCTAGTATTCTGGGAGGCCAAGGTGGGAGGATTGTTTGAGCTCAGAAGATGAGATCATCATCCTTAGCAAGAATGATACCCCATCTCTAGTAAAAACAGAAAAATTAGCTGGGCATCTGTAGTCCAGCTACTTGGGAGGCTGAAGCAGGAGGATTGCCTAAACCCAGGAGTTTGAGGTTGCTGTAAGTGAGGCTAACACCATGGCATGCTAGCTTGGGGCAACAGGGTGAGACTGTCTCAAAAAAGAACAGGAAAGAAAATGAGAATGAATAAGGTACTCCCCAAATCTGCACTAAATATATGCCCTACCATTATAGGTCATCAGAAGGAATTTGTCTACTTAATATAATTTATATAAATTAATTATTATATTAAATATATTATATTTTATTATTATATTAAATATATTATGTATTAATATAATTTATAATATAATTTATTATAATATGTATAAGGAGTATAGCTTGATTTATTCTTAGTATATTCCAGATTATATGGTTTTAGCAGTAGTGTGCTAGATACCATTCCTTTTTTTTTTTTTTTTTTTTTTTTTGAGACAGGGTCTCACTTGGTCACCTTTGGTAGAGTGCTGTAGCATCTTAGCTCACAGCAACCTCAAACTCTTGGTTTCAAGCAATCCTTTTGCCTCAGCCTCCCAAGTAGCTGGGACTGTAGGCACCTGCCATAAAACCTGGCTATTTTTTAGAGATGGGGGTCTTGCTCTTGCTCGGGCTGGTCTTGAACCTGTGAGCTCAGGCAGTCCACACGCCTCAGCCTCTAGGTACCATTCTTAAAACATTTTATTTTAGATCATTTAAAAGGTAATCTGTGGCTCGGTGCCTGTGGCTCAAGTGGCTAAGGCGCCAGCCACATACACTTAAGGTGGAGGGTTCAAATCCAGCCCGGACCTGCCAAACAACAATGACGGCTGCAACCAAAAAATAGCCGGGCATTGTGGCGGGCACCTGTGGTCCCCAGCTACTTGGGAGGCGGAGGCAGGAGACTCGCTTGAGCCCAGGAGTTGGAGGTTGCTGTGAGCTATGAAGCCACAGCACTGTACCCAGGGGGATAGCTTGAGGCTCTGTCTCAAAAAAAATAAACAAAAAGGTAATCTGCTATTGTTGCAAAGTAGCAGCCCTTTAACATCACATAATTTGATTTACTTGATCCACTGTGTTCTTGACAAAAAAATGTTTTTAAATTATTGAATTGTAAGATTCCTTTTAGTTAATTATTTCTGGAAAATTATTTTAAATTTTATTTAACAGTATGAAAAGAATATTGCTTTTTTCCTCCTTTCCCTTTGTAGTCTATGGATTCTACTTAAGAGGTTTAGTAGTCTGCTAGCATATTATATAAACTCCTAGGGGCTAGCTACTTGGGCCCTATATTTAGTTCACTTGTTAGTAAATGACCTCTCTTTATTTGGGTCTTGGCATTATTCTGCATATTAGATTTAGTTTCATGTGATACCTCACCTCTTTTTCTTTATGTGAAATATTTTAGATGAGCGTAAAAAAAAAAAGCCTCATTTATTTTTTATACCTGAGAATGTCTGTTGGTTTACTAAATGTTTCAACAGGGTAAAGGAAATCCTTCAAAAAGCAATCTACAATACTAAATATTTTATGTTATTGGTTTCTAGCATTAGTCCTTCGCACAAATATCAGCCTCTGTGTTGGGAATGAAAAAAAGCTATGAATAATTACTAAGTACAATTAGTAGTTTCTGTTTGTATTTATATATAAATTTCAGGTAAGTAATTTACCTGACTTTCAGAAGCTACATAGTGCTGTGCTAAATTACATATTCTGTGTTTAGGGTTAAAAAAATGAGGATCTTATTTTTAAACAAAAACTAGCATAAGCATTTTGATTGATGTTGCCTAGATAAAAAAAATTAAATGGACATTATCAATTAGTTCCAAGAGTCAGAAGAGTTAGTGAATATTAAGGTAGATTGTTGAAAATGCAGTGTAGTTCTTAATCAGGTACAGTTTTAATATCTAGTATAATTGTGCATGAAAATGGCAAATAACCATTATTCTCTTTCAGTATTTGTCTGTCTGCACTTTATGTTTGGAACCCTGCCAATTCTGGCTCATTTTATGGCTAGTTTACTTATAAATCTGATGAAGCAATAAGCAAAGGTGTCTTATACTTGATTTTTCAATCTTTGTCAAATATATTCCATTTAAAAAATGTAAGCAGGAAGTGGAAACTTACCAAATTAAATATTTTTAAGCAACGCTCAGTGAAAGCACACATAGCCTGATTTCCAAGGTAAACACAGCTTCAAGGATTATTCTGTTTCTTTGAACTGTGCAACACAGAAATGTAGTAGGGGTATCTTAAAATAGACGGGACAGTGGCCAGAAATTGTTGACTACTATAGATGGTGAGGCTGTCTAGCTCTTGCAGTGATCGAGGCCAGAAGTACATGCTAAGGGCATTGATTTGCTCAAGGTCAGCATGTTCTAAATTCAGCTGCTTAAATATGGTTTCTGTCAAGAACACATAGGGCTCTTGAACACATAAAATGTTTTAGCAGCAGAAGGTGCTGTATTTGTGAGGTGTGGTGGCAACATTCTGGTCATGAATTTCTTTTTCTATTTAAATATAGAATTTTAGCCTGTGGTTTTCAGTCATTTCAGGGTACAGAGAGAGGAAGGTAAAGTAG